GTTTGGTAGATTTAGGAAAGCTCTACTGCAATCCTGAAGGCTCATGGTTGGAGGCCACCAGCTGCTTCACAAGATAAGGATGGACAGTCTCCTCCTGTGGAATTAAATACCTTTGAAAACCCATCAGAGAGTCAGCTATGGGTTGGCTCTGACTCTATGGTACACAACAGGCTTGAATGGGGTCCTATGCGACACAGTGTTTAAGTGTTCGGCTGCTAATGAAAAGGTCAGAGTCTAGAACCCACCAGCCACTCCACGAGAGAAAGATTTGGCAATGTACTTCCATGAAGATCACAGCCTTAGAAACACTACAAGACATTTCTAATCTTTCCCAATGGTGTCAATATTGGAATTGACTCAGTGACAATGGGTCTGTGGGATAGACTTCTATGTAAACACCTGTGATGCTCAGTATCAGAGAAGTCATTATGTTTCTACTACTGCAATTATAAGGCATTTAAAAAATTAGATTTTTAAAGCTAATTTATCCTTTTACTCACATAATGTATTTGCAGTTGTTGTTAGGTGCCATTAAGTTTACCATGACTCATGGCAACTTAAGAAAAACAGCTAAGGAAAAAACCTTTCCTATTTGGTACCATCCTCATGAACTCTGAAATGCTCATAATTTTCTTTGTAGAGGATCATAATTATATTTATTGTTCAATGATTTCTGCATTTTGGTATATCATCTTTCTTTGGGATGGGTACATACAAGGACCTCTTCTAGTGAGTTGGCATGTTAACAATCTTTTGGATGTCTTGACAAAAAAGAGTGAGTCTTCCAGACTTCTATATTTTCCTCTTTATTTCACAACTTAGGAACTTTCCATATTTCATTAAAATACTTTCTTTTTTTTTGCCTCATCAAGCTGTCCTTTGAGACCCATTTGATTCTTTCATGTCATCATTTATTTTGTTTACTTTGTTAAAAAATAGTTGCAGTCTTTTTATATAAATTTTGAATTTCTCTAAAAATCTATCTTTAACTACTTTATACTTCTTTCATGTATAACATCATTGATGCCTTCTTAGAACTTGTCTGGTCTTTAATAATTAATGTTCAATGAATCAAATCTATTCTTGAGATTTTTGTGCTTGGTTGTTTTTTTTTTTTTTTTAATTTAGAAGAGATACACTCAAGGTTATATTTTGACTCCTAGAGAGTTGGTGGTGTTCTGATTTTTTTTTTCCAGCTTCACTTTGAAATTGATTGTCTACTTTTCAGTTTTCCCTTGGCCTTATTCTTATTGGTGATATTGAGTATATCATATGTTCCACATATGTAATTGATTTGATTCCTGTGTGTTCCATCTAGTGAGGTCCTTGTCTATTGTTGTCATTGATGTTATTGAAATAAGTGCTTTCTGATAAATTAACTGTCACTTTTGAAAATTCTGCACTGTGGGCTCTGGCATAATTTCCATTACCAAGTCCATATTTTCCCAAGTCTGATTCTTTTTGTTTTCCATTATTTTTAATTCAAAAAATCAGTATGTATCAATGTGTATAAATTGCATTTGATAAATTTCAGATTGAAGAAGCTTATAAAGATTTTTTTTCAATTTTTGGCATTAGTGCTTAATGGATAAATTCAAACAGTGATCTCATTATCACAGAAGAATTTCTAGAAACAACATATGATCAAGAGGGAATGATGACGGAGGAAGTTCAGGCTGATCTGCAGGACTTGGCAAAAAAATAAAGCCTCAGGAGTTGATGGAATACTAATTGACATATTTCAACAAACACTTGCTTTCCTGGACAACGTGCTCACCAGGTTGTGCCAAGAAATCTGGACACAACTACCTGGTCAACAGACCAGAAAAGATCCACATTTATTTCCATTCCAAAAAAAAAGGTGACCCAACAGAGTGTGGAAATTATCAAACAGTATCACTCATATCACACATAAACAAAATCCTGCTGAAGATTATCCAGAAATAACTAGGACAGTAAGTATATTGACAGAGAACTAGCAGAAATACAAGTTGGATTTAGAAGAGGTCATGACACTAGAGACATTATCACCAAATGTCAGATGGATCTTGGCAGATCCCCAGAGGAATGTATATATGTGTCTCATTGACTCTGCAAAGATATTTGACTATGTGGATCACAACAAATTGTGGCTAACCTTGAGGAAAATGGGAATCCCAGAACACTTGATTGTGCTTATATGAAACTTTTACTTGGACCAGGAAGCAGTCTTCAGAATAGATCAGGGAAATACTGCATGGTTCAAAATCAGGAAAAGAGTGCATCAGGGACGCATTCTGTCTCCATACCTTTTCAAATTATAAGCAGAACAGACCATTTGGGAAGCAGGGCTCTATGAGGAGGAAAGTGGCATCAGGATTGGAGGAAAACTCATCAACAACCTATGTTATGCATACACAACTCTGCTTGCTGAAAGTGAGGAGGACCTGCAGCGCTTGCTGTGGAATGTCAGAGTATGGATTGACAGTATGGATTGAGGCTCAATATCAAGAAAACAAAGATTCTCACCACTGGGCTAATAGGCAGCATCAGGATGGATGGTGAAGAGCTTGAGATTGTTCACAGTTTCAGTTTGCTTGGCTCCACAATCAACACTCTTGGCACAAACAGCTAGGAAATTAAAAGATGCATTGTGATGGGAAAGTCTGTGATTAGAGATCTCTCTAAAGTACTGAAAAACAATGATGTTAGTCTAGATACTAAGGTGTGTCTGCTCCAGGTCATGGTCTTCACAAGTATGAGAAAGGTGGACAATGACTGAGAATGACGGAAGAAGAATAGATGCCTCTGAGCTGTGCTGGAGAACATACCATAAACTGCCAAGAAAATAAATAGGTCTACCTTGGAGAGAGTGAAACCAAGTTTTTCTTTGGAGGCTAGGATTTTTAAGCTCTGTCTCATATACTTTGGGCACATGGCCAGGAGGGACCAATCTTTGGGAAAGGGCATCATGCTTGGAAGGGTGGAGGAATGGCACAGGAGAGGAAGACTTTGGATGAGCTGGATTGATATAGTAAGTGGGGCAATGGGTTTAGGTGTATCAGAGTCAGTGAGAAAGGCTCAGGACAGGGCAGGCTTCAGAACTGCTGTACATCTGATCATTGTGGGTCACAGGTGACTTGAACGATGGCACCTAACAACAGTCACATTAACTAGTTTCAGTAAATATATCAATGTTATTCTGTAATTGACACTGTTGTACTTCAGAACAGACCTTGAAATACTCTTCTTGATTATTAATTCAATGCTTTCACTTTTCAATTTGTCATTTAAAGCCATAGTAAACCATAAGATTGCTCAATTCACACTTGCCAATACCAGTCCATTTCAGCTCATTAATGACTAGGACAAATGTTTCATTTGGTTTTTAACAACTTCCAGTTTTCTTAAACTCATACTTTATACATTAAATTTTTCAGGTTGCTTCTTTTAATGAACAGTTACAGCTGTTCCTAATTTTCAGTCATGCCACATCATTAAATGCTGGTCCCCATAAGTCTTCCTCTACCTTTGTGAGTGATGCAGATTCTACTTTGAGGTGGTAGCTCTTCCACAATTGCATTTTGAGAGTTTTCCAACCTGAGAGACTGATCTTCTGGCACTATTAAGTCAATGTTCTACTGCTATTCATAGATTTTTCACTAGTCAACTTTTTAAAATGGAAATTCCTAAGTACTGTTCCCTAATTTGTTTTAGTCTGGAAACTTCACTGAAATGCTGAAATGTTTGCATCTTGATATATGAAATATATGAAATACCAATGACAAGGCTTCCAGTTTCACAGCAACATTCAAGCTACCACATTATAACAAACTAAGAGACAGTGGTTTATGTATCAGGAGCTCTGCTGATGTAGTTCCCAACATAGTGCTCCATTGCTAGCCAAATGGCCTCGATCTCACCAATGGCTCATGAGAAAAAAGATGAACAGTGTTCTTTTGCAAAGTTGACGAAGGGTTGTTAGGAGTTAGAAGCAATTTGATGGGCGTGAAGTTGGGGTCTTGATTTTATGACTATGATCTTACAGCACAGTGCTTCAGTCGCTGGTTGCTTATCAAAAGGTTGGTAAGTTGAATCACCAATAGCTCAGTGGGTAAAAGCTCTGACATTCTGCCCTGTAAAGATTCATAGCCTTTGGAACCCTATGTACAGTTCAACCTAACTTTATGAAAGAAATATATTTTTAAGGTACCAAGTAAAAAATGTCCATATCAAATGTCCTTTCCATTTAAGATGTCTTGAAATGTGGTGGGTAGCACAATTAATATAAAACATATTGTATTTGGATGTTGGAGTGAAAAGCCAACTTGCTTTTTAAACTATTGCTCAGATCACAGTGAAAATTTTTTTAAAGAAAGATATGGTAATAAAAGGCTTGATTTTGTAAAGGCTGTGTTTTTATAGGAATACTTCATTGAGCAGAGGTAGCTATCATATTCTGAGTAGTATCTGAAGAAGCACATTAACAACATGTGGAAATGCTTATGAAGTCTATTTATTTATTTTGCTGTGAATTGAATTTACCTTCATATAGAGGGCCTTCTGAATCCACCACTACCTTTTAGATATCGCTGCAGTCAAGGATAAAGCTATAGTCCCATCAGTGGTTTTTGAAATGTAAGCAGGCAAATGGGTGATTTTTCTCCAATTTAGGGGAGTAACATTACCATTTAGTATTTACAAACAGCACCCGTCTTATAGGACCACCCCATTCCCTGGGAGGCATCTTCCTAAGTGTGGCTATGCCAATTTGTTTTCACATGTTTTTAGACATAATTAGCATATTGTGTTTACAAAAGTAAACTTGGGGGTTGAGGAGAGTAGTTACCTAACTTGTAGAAGGACCATATGATTTGCAGAAAAGGCAAAAGTCTGTTGTTGAGCAAATGGAATAATTAAATTATGGTTCATTTTGTCTGTAAAGAAACCAGAGTCTAATTTACTGTGTTATGGATTGTGTTTTGGTGGATAAAATATTTTTATTACCCTGGTCTCTACAGGATTGGCCTTTGCTGTCCTCTCATCTGTGCACCCCGTGTTCGGTTTATATGGGTCTCTGTTTCCTGCCATCATTTATGCCATATTTGGAATGGGACGTCATGTTGCCACAGGTAAACATTTCTGTGCATTTGCTTTACGTATCACTAATAAAAGGGATATAAAAGTGATCATTAGTTACTGATTACATTTCCAAAGCAGTTCTTATTTCACTGTTCAAATCTTCAGTACGTGTTAGGGTAAGACATTTAACTTCCTGTACCCCCCACACTCCATACATACTACTATTGCTGTCTTACCAAGGAACCAAGGTTATTGTTAATGACTTTGTGTTTTTAAATTTTTATTTTCTTTTGGTTTGCATATAAAATTCCTATATATTGATTCATTCATGTACATTATGTTTCACACATTCCTTCATACACATTGTTTCATATAATCATTCTCATACAGTATATTTTCTAAAATTAATCATCATTTATCTATGCCCACTATCACCCCACCTTTTCAGGACTACTGCCTTTTCTGCAAATCATATGGTCCTTCCCCCGGGATCTTTCCTAATTCCTTCACCCCCTTTCTCCTGTGACTCTGTGACTCCCCCCACTACCACCTTCAGCACCGCTCTTCCCCTTCTTCCTTCCTCCTTTGGACTTTTTAAGCACATTTGCTACTTATCCTTCTATTTTTAAATTCATAATTGTCTGCAATATTTTCCCTTATAATTCTGGGTTATTTCACTCAGCATAATTAGCTATAGCCTCTCCTGTGTTATAGTATTTTATGAAATCATTGTTCCTGAGTTCTGCATAGTATCCCATTATGTGAATGTACCACAATTTCTCAATCAATTATTTGTTGTTGACTTTACATTTTCAAGTTAAAAAAAGATAATGAAATAAAGTGGATCATAAATCATGATTTTAAAGCAAGATGAGAAAAAAAGGAATATTTTTATGAAGATGATTTACTAAAAAATTTATTTTTAATTTTATTATCCAAATAATGAAAAATATTTTAAATATAATTAGTATTTAGATTTATGATTTTATAGGTTTCTTCCAAGCTAAATTCCATAATACCCTTTAATTAGTACAATAGTTTAATTATGTCTAGCTCTGGATTAGCAAGTGAAATGACAGACTGTCACTAATATTCTGATAAAGAGCAGAAGAGTTAAAAACAAAACATAGGTTCTAGAGTCAGCTAAAACTTACTTCAGTCAATTTGGTTTGACTCATCTTGACCCTTCATTGAGTTTCTGAGGCTGAAATCTTTATAGGAGGAGACGCTCCAAATTCTCCCAAGGAGTACCTTGTAGATTAAACTGTCAACTTTATGGTTAGCCTGACAAGTTACATGCTGTACCACCACCAGATTTAATCTCTGTGTCTGTCTCTTGCAGTTCTTTGTGACCTATGTGACCTTGGTTAAGTTTTTAAGTTCTATTTGTGAAGTTGTAAAATGACAAAAGATCAAACAAAGCACATGATTACATAATAATTATATGAGGTAACGAAAGTTCAGTGTCTAGTTTAGCACTTGGTATACAATCTCATTATTTGCAGAATAGTTTTTCCTCGAACAACAATTCTTTTTATTCCTTTCTCTTCTCTTATTCAAGTCTCTGCTATCTTCCCGGACATCCTAGAAAATCTAAACCAAAAGTGAAATGCTATCTCCTTGTCTTCTTTTTTATTTCTGTACTCATTTATTCAGATCTTGTGTGTGAGTGCACGTGCGTGTGTGTGTGTGTATGTGAAAATATACAACAAAATTTAATTACTTTTGTCTAAAACTTTTTGCTTTGCATTAAAGGAGATTTAAGGATCAATACGCACTTCTACTCTCAAGTGTGTGAGACTTTGAGAAGAACTGTTAGAGCACATCTTGAAAGAAATGTCCTAAGACTAGGGTCTAGGTGGATATTTTTATCTGATGTTTCTCCTTTTGAGCACTCAATTTTTACCTCGAAACCAGACTAATTCCTTCTTAATACTTTATGATGAAAAGAATGATATTATTGTTGTAATGCTATTGAGTTAACTCACAAATAGAACTGCATTTGATTTAACCTATATATTTATGTTGAAGACCTTTAACCATATGGATTGATACAGTGACTGTAGCAACGGGCTTGACTGTAAGAAAGGCGCAGGATTGGATAGGGTTCAGATATGTCATTCTTAGGGTCTCTATGAGTTGAACTTGATGGCACCTAACAACAATAGTAATACATTTATGTATCACCAACTCTGGAGAAAACCAGAATAATAGAACATAATAGAGCATTTGATCTTAGGGTCATCAAGATAACACAAATAGCTATTATTTATTTCTACATTCATGTGTATGTGCAGTACGCGGTGATACGTGCTGTATTATGTAATTTAAGCCTCATAACAATCCATTGGAGGGAAAAGCATTGTCTATTTATAAATAAGGAAATTGAAATGGCAATGCTGGCTGTTTTGTGCGATGTGGGCTCAGAACCACCACACTGTTCTGAATCCGCAGCGTGCTTTGCTTCTCTCATTCAGTCAGATGAGAGGGCTATCTGTGCAGATTTCCTATCAGGGTGTGTTTCTGACTCTTGCCTCTTTCATCCTATGCCGATAAATGCTTCCTGTTGGGATGCCTGTGTCTAGCCGTAAGCCATTTTCCACATAGTCTCACGTATGATCTGGAGAAAAACAAAATCTTTAATGGGCCAGGTTGAATGGCAGCACGACACTGCAGTTTGTCCCTTTAACTCACTCTGTGGGATTCAGCATTTCCTGGTCCCTGTGCCTGCGTTCTCAGGCCTGGCCTACTGTGCCCATAGGAACAACATTAGGACCCTTGACAGAAAGACATGAACAAATTGAAAGTGGCCTTGTGTTTGTCTGAGGCTGTGACAATTCCTGGGCAGTGCTATTGAACACTGTTAAATAACAGTAGACGAGAATAGTCTGTTTAGTGAATTTAAGTGACACAGCATGTTGTATGACATTAAAGGTTTAGTGTGCAATATGATGAAGGTCCTTGGGTAGCCCAAATGGTTGGAGTCTGACTACTGACTTAAAATTTGTCTGTTTAAACTCACCCGGTAGCCAGGCAGCTGGAAGGCCTGGTGATCTGCTTCCCTGAAGAGCACAGCCTAGATAGCCCTCAGGGCAGTTCTATAGAGCATGGGATTGCCATGAGCCAGAATCAAATAGAGGCAACAAGTTTTGTTCCTATGTAACCACAGAGTGTAGAAAGATGAAACCTGCCTGATAATATCTGATAGGAATCCTTGTTAGAAACTGGGTTTGTGCCAGACTTAGAAACACTGGGAGGATTTTCACAGGGAGAGGGAGGAGCAAACATTCCAGGGGAAGAGCCCCTAAATCCTATGTTTAGGCATTGCATTTACTAAAGTGGTAGTTGTGCCTTTAACCCAAAGCTGTGCATCTCCAATGACTTGAATCCACCAATGACTCAGGGGAGAAAGGTAGTGGTTTCCTTCCATTACAATTTATAGCCTCAGCAACCTTGTGGAGGGTTGCTGTCAGTCAGAACTGATTTGGAGGCAGTCAGTTTTGAGTTTGTATTTAGTATTTTTGTATATCCCTTCAAAACCCTGGCAGGTAAGTATCATTATTCTAATTCTATGGATAAGGCAGTTTAGATTCAGAGTGAAGTACCATAGATCACGTCATTAATACACGGATGAATTGGATTGAAATCCAGACAATTATTATAATCACTTTTCTGAGAACAGTGTTTGTGTCGGTCTGAATAGAGATAGGAAAATGTATGATGACCCCAGAGGGAATATCATGGAGATGGGTGTAGCTATTCATTGAATAAAATTGTCTCTTTGTAATCAGATTTCTTTTTATTTGATAGAGTATGGTAAAAAGCAGGGATGGGGAGGGAAGGGAAGAGAAGGGAGAACTGAGGAGAGAGAGAGGGAAAGAGATGGAGAAGGGGAGAGAGGGAGAGGGAGACAGCGGGGGAGAGACAGAGAGATTGAGAGTAATTTTAATACATCTATTTGGCTTGATAAGGGGAATTCAACAGTTTTTATTGTGCTAGGTTTTCCCCCTCAGCTTTCTAATGTTAGATTCCCTTCTTTAACTCTTAGGCACGTTTGCTTTAACATCCTTAATATCAGCCAATGCAGTGGAACGACTTGTCCCTCAGAGCAGTCAGAACCTGACCACAGAGAGTAACAACAGTGTGCTGGGCTTATCTGAATTTGAGATGCAAAGGATTGGTGTAGCTGCTGCAGTTTCCTTCTTGGGAGGAGTGATTCAGGTAAGTGTTATGGAGATTTGAGAATAAACAAAAGGGGAACAATAGCAAAACAAAAGCAATTTAGTGCTTCATTCAAATTCTTGTTCATGTCTCTCTAAGTGGTTAAAGTATTGATATGTTTTATCTTAATGGAAACACAATCTGCTGTGCAGAGTAGTTATTCTCTAAATGTTGGCTGAGGGAATGACTAAGAATCAAAATCGGAGCTTACAGGGAAACTGTTTGATACTGTAAGAATGAGGTTTCCATGAAAGACACTGAAGTAGTTCAGAACTTGTTCTTACTGTGACCAGATAATTGCTCTGGAATGTTATAGGAGAACTTCCTATAATGGGACCCTGTGTCTAAGTGTCAATGATTCTTACCAATTTTAGGAGTCTGTAAGTGACCAGCAGCCAGGGAATCAAAAGATGAATTGCACTGGAAAAGTCTGCTGTCAGGAACCTCTCCAATGTACTGAGGAGCAATGATGTCAGTCTGGAGACTAAGGTCCTCATGATACAGGCCATGGTCTTTGCAATTACTTGCTATACATCAGAAAGCTGGACAATAAGTGGCTCAAGGACCTAGGACTAAAATCTAGCACTTTAAGCTTCATCAGAGAAAAGCTTGGAAGAACTCTAGAAGCCATAATCTACAACATGAACAGTCTTCCAAACATCTTGAAAAACCTACAACTAGGAGAGGATAAGATAGATGAATGGGACCGACCGTCTAAGAATCAATTCCCTATGTTGTTGTTGTGATGGGTTGTTGAGTCACCTGTGACTCATATTGACCCTATGTACAACAGCCCTAAACTCTGCCCTATCCTGTGTCAATCTCACCATCTTTGACACACCCACCCCCATTACCCCAGTCACTGATTCAATCCATCTCATCGAGGGTCTTCCTCTCCTGTGCTATCCCTCCAACCTCCCAAGTATGATGTCTCTCTCCAAGGACTGGTCCGTCCTAGCAACATGTCCAAAGTGTGTCAGACAAAGCTTCAGAATCCTTGCCTCCAAGGAGCAGCCTGGCTTCACCCTCTCCAGGACAAACCTGTTTGTTTTCCTTATACACATCCAAAATCTTCTCCAACAGGGTAAAAAGGAAAGTCTCAGACTGGGAAAAAATGTGGTAATGACATGTCTAATAAGGGACTTACATCTAGAATTTAGAGAATACTCAACCACCACAAGAACAACCCAATTGCAAAATGAGCACAGGATATGAATAGATACTTCACCAAAGAAGACATTCAGATGATGAACAAACACATAAAGAAATGTTCAAAATCTCTAGCTGTAAGATAGATGCAAATCAGAACAACCATGCGATATCATCTCACACCAGTCACAATAGCAAAATTCAACAGAGCAGAAAACAACAAATTCTGGTGAGGTTGTGAAGAAATTGGAACCCTTACTCACGGTGGGTGGTAGTGTAAAATTTTGTAGCCACAATGGAAGGCAGTATAGTGTTTTCTTGAAAAGTTGGAAATAAAAATGCCATTTGACCCAGCAATTCCAGTACTCTGAATATACCCTAAAGGAATTAGAACTGCCACCCAAATCGATATATGCACACCTATGTTTATTGCTTCATTGTTCACAATAGCAAAGAGATGGAAACAACCCAAGTGCTCATCAACAAATGAACGGGTAGAGAAGCTGTGGCATATTCACACAATGGGATACTATGCAGCACTGAAAAACAAGGAGTTAATGAAATATTATACAAAATGGGTGACCCTGGAGGACATACATCAGTTGCAAAAGGACACATACTGTGTAATTCCACTGTTATAAAACAGGATTGACATGGGGGTTTGGGGAAAACTAAGAAAATAAGGGATAAATAACATACACTGAAACAGATGAGGGAAAGAACTATTTAAAAAGAACACATAATTAGATATTATTTGCACAACAACAGTCCAGAATAAGAACTGCATAGCAATGTGAACTGCGCGCGGGATAGGGAAGAAATTGTGCAACTATGAAAAATTGTTATTCAAAGAGAAAAGCGAACCAGGGGATGAGGCTAGAGAGGAAAATGTGCAACAGTGAATGAATGTAAATCCAACTTATCCATAAACTTCTGATAAAATCTCAGTTAAAAAAAACAAGCTGGACAATGACTAGAGATGATAGAAGGAGAATTGATGCCTTTGAGTTGTGGTGCTGGAGAATATTACTGAATATACCATGAACTGCTAGGAGAACAGATTCTTTCTGGAGAGGGTGACATCAGAATGCTCCTTGGAGACAAGGATTCTGAAGCTCCGTCTGACATACTTTGGGCATGTTTCAAGGAAGGGCCAGTTCTTAGAGAGGGACATCATGCTTGGGAGGGTGGAGGGACCGTGCAAAAGAGGAAGACCCTGGATAAAATGGATTGACTCAGTCACTGGGGTAATGGTGTTGAGTGTATAGGAGATGAAGATGCTGGCACAGAATAGAGAAGGATTCAGAGCTGTTGTACATAGGGTTGCTATGAGTCTCAAGAAGCTTGATAACACATAACAGCAAATAACAAACACATCCATAATTATCAACAAGAGACATAAAATCTCTGGTCCATATTATTTTAACTATTTTCCATAAATTGTAAAAATTTTCAGCTATTTTCTTACTACCTGTTGTATTTGGATTAATAATTTAAATGACAATCAATTATGAAAGTAGAAGCTATGATTCTAACAAAATACAAATAAATAAACCCAACATCTTAATTCCCTGGAAGGAAATTTTCTTAGAATCATGTGCATAAAGCAGGATATTATTAAAGATAAGAAAAATAATGTAATAAAAAGAAAATTAATATGGCTTTTAGAGCTGATGATTATTTATCATTCTACTACTCTTTTTCTCTTAATTCACACATTTAGACCATTCACATTACTTGTGATTATTGACAGGCCAGGTTTTAATGTTGCCGTTTTGCTGTTTCTTTTTCTGTTGTTTCTGGTTACTGTAGTCCATCCACTCGACTTTGGTGTCTCTGTGTGAAGGACTTCCCTTAAACTTTTTAGTAGATTGGGTCTTGTTTTCACAAATTCCTTTAAGTTCCTTCTTTTCTGCAAATGTCCTAATTTCCCCTTCATATTTGATGGACAGCTTTACTTGATACAAAATCAAAGGCTGGCAATCCTTTTCTCTCAATTTCCTGTATGTTCTATCTCATTCTCTTGTAAGTCACATGGTTTCTTCTGAGAAATCAGAACTTAATCTAATTGTTTCCCTTTTGTAAGTGACTGTTTTTCTTGTTCTGCTTTTAGTACTCTGTGCTTATCTTTTAATTTGGAGAATTTGAGTATGATATGTTTTCTTTTTGGTCTAGTCTATTTAGTGTTTGCTGAGCTCCTCCTTGGTTGTGGATTTCTTTGTTCTTCATAATACCGGGGAAGTTTTCTTGTACTATCTCTTCCACAATTTTCTCAGTGATTTCCCTGTCCCTCTTATGTTCTGGAATTTCATACATATGTTGTTCCTTTTGATGTCATCTCATACGTTTTCTTAATTTCTTTATGTCTCATATTCAATTTTTCTTCTAATATATTCCCATTGAGGGTCTTGTCTTCCAGCTCTTGGACTCTCTGTTTCATCTCTTCTATTTACTTTTTTGTCCCTCCAATGTGTTGGACACTGTTGCCACTTTGGGCTTAATATTCTGAATTGCATTTTCAAGCATTTCTGTTATTTCCAGTACTGTGTTGGCTGTACCTTCTCTGTCTTGTGATGATAATTTAAGTGCGTGCAATTCTTGTACCTCTTTTCCTATAGTTTCAATTCTTTTTTCCTACTTTTGCATTTTCTTCCTTAGTTGTTCAAGTTACGCTCATTGATACATTCCTTCCAGTTCCCTGTCTCTGGAGTATTCATTTGCTTTCTTAATGGTTTTCAATATTTCTTCCATCACTTTCACCTTGCTGCAGAGGGTCAAGGACTGCAGCCTTCAATATGGATTGAGGCTCAATGTCAAGAAGACAAAGATTCTCACCACTGGACCGATTGGCAGAATAAGGATGGATGGTGAAGAAACTGAGATTGTTCCCAGCTTTAGCTTGCTTGGCTCCACAGTCAACACTCTTGGCACCAGCAGCCAGGAAATTAAAAGACGTATTACGATGGGAAAGTCTGCTGTTAGGGACCTCTCCAAACTACTGAAGAGCAATGGTGTCACTCTGGAGACTAAGGTGCATCTGATACAGGCCATGGTCTTTGCAATCACTTGTTATGCATCAGAGAGTCAGGCAATGACTAGGGAGGACAGAAGGAGAATTGATGCCTTTCAGCTTTGCTGTTGGAGAAGAGAATTGAGGGTACCATGGACTGCTAAGAAACCAAACAGATTCACCCTAGAGAGGGTTAAAACAGGCTACTCCTTGGAGGTAAGGATTCTGGGGCTTCGTCTGACATACTTTGGTCATGTTATAAGGAGAGACCAGTCCTTGGAGAAGGCCATCATGTTTGGGAGGGTGGAGGGCAGGCGCAGGATGGAAAGGCCCTCTGGGAGGTGGATTGATTCAGTGACTGGGGTAATTGGGATGGGTGTGTCAGAGACAATGAGATTGGCACAGGACAGAGCAGGGTTTAGGGCTGTTGTACATAGGGTCGCTATGAGTCACAAGTGACTCCACGGCACATAACAACAGCAACAACAACTTACACCTCCTTCTATAGCTCTTCATATAACTCTGTATCAACATATTTCTTCTGGTTCTTTGTGTCTAGGATATTCATTGAGTCTATAATATGCTCTACTTTTTTTAGAAGGGTTACTTTATTTTTTCATGATGTTTGATCCAGCCTGCTACTTTATTGACATTAAGGGAATCTTTTCTTGGTAGAGTTTTGGCTATTATAAGTGTAGAATGTCCCAGGGGAGGGTGATGTTCTGTGAAGGACCTGTATGCGGGATGACTGTTCTTTGGAAACCATGGTTGATCCATGCCTGTTCCTCGTTGGCTTAAAAAATCCCAAGTTTACTCTGTATGCTGCAGTCAGGAAGGTTCA